ATCAAAATTAGTGTACTACACCTCGTTCCTGAACTATCCCATGAGTCTTTTATTTCTTTTTGACATGGGGGAATGGGTATAGGAGGGGGAGGGAAGTGGTGGAGATGGGAGGGGTGGAAGGAGAGGAAGGGAGTCCCTCTCTAAACAAATCTCATTTATTCCTTTTTCTCTTGTATCAAAAGTCATCTATGACCACAGATGAAAGAGAGAGAATCGGCCGTGCCAATACCAAAAGGATAGAAGTATTGCAGGAACAGTTGGAGGAAAATAAAAGAGAGGTGAGATTCCAGGAAACCTGGCATAATTTAGTAAATGAGCTGGTTGTTGGATGAAATATTTGCGATGGTGATGATTGCCCCTCCCCCCCTCCCCTCTCCCAAAAGACATGCAGATTAGAAGACTGCTAGTGAGAAGGGTAAGGGAATGGGCCACCCTCACTCTAGGACCCCTTGCTGGGAATGACTAGGTTTAAATTGATAAAATCTTTTGAAAAGTGGAACCACTGTTCAACGTTAAGCCTTGACAGTGATGATCCAGTATTCAACGTTAACCCTGTATTCAATGTTAACCCTTTATTCTGTATAACTGAGATTCTCAATATTCTGCGAACTCAGACATTCTAATGGCTTGTTGTTATTAATTTAGTAAGTCAGGTGTATTGAGTAGAATTTTGCCTGATCTTTCCAGCGTGACGAGATAGAAGAGAGGCGCCGAGCCCTGCACAATGAAGTAGAGAGACAATACAGCATAGAAATGGAAAAGAGTGCACACTTAGAGGATCGTTCTGAAGAGTATCGTCAAACTCAGCCTCAAATGAACCAGAATCTTCAAGAGAAGCTCGCAGTAAGTATTGATTGAAGTTCTGGTCTGTACCAGTCCCCGGGGTCCCACTACACCTGGACAAAGGAACCATCCAGTTAATTTATTGTTTATTGGGGAGGGGAGGGGAGGGTGAGGAAGTGACCCTGCAAAAAATTGTGTCTAGAAATAGTTGATGAGTTATATATAGGAGCCTTAAGAATGTTGGAAATAAACAGAGAAATTCAAAAAAGCCAATTGTTTCCCATCCACCCCTCCAATAAATAATGAATAGTCTCAAAGGAATGAAGAGATTAAGGGGGTATTATTGAAGGGGGTAGGAGATGTGAAGTGTAAGATTCTGAGAGGGGGAAGGGGTGATTTTTGGGAGTTCTGAGAGAGAGTAAGGAGATAGCGCAATCCATAAAACGATAATCTTAAATTAAGTTAAAGTTGAAATCTCGAATCTTTCAGCACTTGAGGGCAGATCTTGATCTGCACAAGGATGAACAGAAAGCATCACAAATGGACATCCTTCATGCAGAGAACCTGATACAAGGAAAGGACAAGTACAAGACCCTGAAAAAAATCAGGCAAGGCAACACCAAGAGTAGAGTTGATCAATTTGAATGCTTGTAAATCTTCTTCATAGGTATGCATTCATTAGCCACCATTCATTACAGTTGCTAAAGCAATTTTCATATGACTATAAAAACCTAGCTGCACAAATGCTGTCATGATATGGCAAGGCATTTGCCAGCTAGACCAATCACATTGCACTAGAAATTACTCTCCATCCAATCAAATACCTGAAACATGGCATGAACACAGCACAGACACGGTCTCACCAAGGTTAAATGACATTCGGACCAATCACGTTTCAGGAGAAACATATCAGCCAATCAAAACATTAGAAAACATCACTGTGCAGGCAAATAAGGCTCAGGCATATGAAACCACATTTTTCACACATCATGTGAAAACTGCTCTATAATTTGTGACCCACTTTTTTTGGTTTAACTCTACCATTTCTTTATCCTTCAATCTAATCTTTTTTCTTTGACTATAAGATTGATTCCCCTATGTGAAGTCAATCATATTCTTTACGCTCGGTAGAATGAAATTGATTATTACAATCATTTTAAACATAGTACGTCTAACCTGCTTTGATCACATCCTCTTTTCTAATGTACCCTCATCTGATCTTTTGCAAACAAAAAAAAAAATGAGGAGGCACTGCGATTAGGGATGGGCAACATTTATATGTGTTTTTCTCTTTTCTTGGGCTACCTGTGGCTACTAAAGTCAGCTTTTTCTGTGTGTCCATTTTGGTACCCCCCTCCCCCTTTTAAAATCCTGGATCTGCCACTGCAACCCCTCACCTCTATCTTACTTCTTCTTTCTTTCTCCCTCTCCTTCCATTTTACTTCCATGCTTTTCTTCTCCCCTCCTTCCTGTTTTATTTCCATCCCCTATCCCATTTCCCATCCCAACATTTCACTTTCAATTGTCTTTTTTTATCCCTCTCCTTCTCACTTTGTCATTCATTTCATTCCCTCTCACCCATCTCCTTCAGTTTTACTTCTTTTCTCATCCTTCTTTCCTTCTCCCTTTCTTCCCATTCCTGCTGTTCCTTTCCATTCCCTTCTCATCCAAGCCATTTGGTTCTTACTCTACTTGACAACTGAAAATTCATATGGTAAAATGTCCAATATATTCCTTTATTTGATAAAGTAAGATAAAGTAAGATAAAGTAAGATAAAGTAAGATAAAGTAAGATAAAGTAAGATGCTTGTGGTCAGCTTCCACAAAAATTTGTATTGTAATCATTTTTATAGACAAAGTTACATTTTGTACTTGACTAATAAAAAGATAGCAAAAAGATTTTGTTGCTGAAGTTTTAATTTGTAGTTTTAGACTGGATACAATTTACAGGGTTCTGTAGCATCTTTAAATGAGTAGACAAGCGTTGCGCAGTCGAATAAATCGTTAAGAAAATGAGAATGAGAAGAAAAAAGAAAGAAAAGAAAGAAAGAAACGAACATATAAATGGAAGAAAAAAGAAATTGAATGAATGATCAGAAGCAATGAACAAATAAACACACACACACAAAAAGAAAAGAAAACAAAGAAACAAAGAAAGAGAGAAAGAAAGAAAGAAAGAAGCAAGTTAAAGGAAAGAAAGAATAAGAGAATGACTAAAAGAGAGAATGATCAAGAATGAACAAACTTATAAAGAAACTAAACAACGAACGATGAATGAATTGATAATTTGTAACTGGAGAGCTCAAAATAAAAATACAAAACAGCCACCTGTGGTCACAATGCTTTTAAAAATCTCTTCCGTTCGCATTCTCATGCCATAGCTCACTTCCGTAGTGATTACGAAGCATAAAACGCGAATATAGATCATAAGTAATTTGAGGTTAATGTCAAAGGATCTTTATTAGCGATGGAGTACCCAAGTATGATGTCAGTATCACGTATATCGATATATCGTCAGAAATATATCCTCTCTTCCTTTTCCGCGCAAATTCCTAATCAAAGATCGTGCCATTTCTGATTGCAAATACTGCGAACTTTCTTTATTGCGTACCTTGGATTTCGCCAATTTTTCCCGGGTATGGGAGGGGGGGATCGATGGGGGATCGATGGGGGGTATACTGGGGGGGGGGGGCAGGGATGATTTTCGTATCTCTCTCTAGGGGTTGAAATTGTAAGTCATTTCCTAGGAAAAGCCGTGTTTTTTTCGCCTCAAAATTTTGTGCTTAAAAATTAAAAATCTTGTGTGTCAAAGTGGTACGTAGTGGGAGGGAATGCTACGCATTTATTCAAATTACGTCACGTGATTTAGCTTTGTATAATGATAGTAATGAAGGTTTAAATTTTATCGTCGTCACTGTTATTAATTTCTCTCACCTTAATGTCGGAGGCTAAAATAATATCTCGAAAATAATACGTTTCCAAATAAACAACTTTATAAACTCGAAGTTTTTTTAACCTAACTTTTCACGACGACTTTCACTTTAYTTCAGCGCATTGCGTGACTGTATAAAGCTAATAGGATCTGGATCCAAATATGCGCCCGCGATCCAGCAGGTATTTCCCAAGAGGGGGGTCAATATATTAAGGTTTGGGATTACATCAATGAGCCTATTACTTGGTACACCCATCTTGCGACGGAGGAGTCAAAATTAGGTATGCTTGAAAAGCCAGCTAAAAATACTCTTTGTTACAAATATTTTCCTCTTAGAACGACATTTTAAGTAAGTTTAACCTTTAGTCTTTATGCTCTATTAATTTGAGATGAAAGTTTTGACTTTTTCGAGTCAAAACTAAGAAATGACCCAGCGCTACTCGGAAATATCTAAACTTCCTTAACCGCATATTTCTGAGTAAAAATTAAGTTAAGCCAAAAATTTGAGTTGGTTATGGCCCTTTTTATTTATTGTTCATTTTATAGGAGAAAAAGGTCAGTCCTTTTATTACTTTGAGGCTCGTGGTCTTAATTTTTGATATCGTATCGTCTTTCGTTCTGTCTTAGGTGCAGTTTCGCTTTTGGTGTAGTTGGACGTCGACCAAAACTCACAAATCTTTCATTCATCTTTCGTACTTTTATTCATCRATTCATCTCGTAGCTGGTGTTATACTAAAAAACCAAGATGCCTAAACCGGTGAGTACAAATCACCTTTCTATTAATTTAGAATTTGATTTTTATGTGACACTTCTAGGCGGCCGTAACAATGGCGTGCATACTTTAGTTATAACGTCGATAATCATATCAAATTGCCGTCCATGTGTTTCGGACCTCTAGCAGAGCTGCTCTTTTCTTCTCTTTCCTACAGATAAACGTGAAGATCACCACCATGGATGCAGAGTTAGACTTTGCAATCCAATCTAGTACAACTGGCAAGCAACTTTTTGATCAGGTATTTATATAAGCATTCCTTATGTACATGCGAATTAAGGTGTCTTCGTCGCTCTTTCATTGGATGACATTTCAAGATAAGGCCTATAACGCCAAAATAATGACTTAATGAATATTCTGACCTCATATTATTCCTGTGATTAATGAATATTTGATTGCAAAGAAGAGTGGAAATGGGTGTGGCCCTCTCGTATTGGTTGCCCTTGGCAACAATGTGAGTACACCCCCTCAGTGCAAAATCTGTGGTCCGTTTATTTTAAAATTTTGAAATCTGAAAAATGCTGTTTTGGTTTGTGTGAGAATTCAAGCAAAGGTAAGAACGATTTTCCAACAATTCTGTTAAGATTCTAGTGCAATTCGTTATTCTCAAATTYCTTTTCCATTTGTTTTGATCCAGTGGTGCCTAACAATTTTTTTTTGAAATAAGACAATGTCACAGTTGTCTTACAATAGCTGTTGTTTTCATCAAAAGATAAGAACAGTGTTTATCATGAAGACAGGAATGTTTTTCTATTGTCTTGCCCAATCAAGCATAAAAGTGGGCTCAATCCRACAGAGTACAACTATCTTTTTTTCAAGGGTTTATTTATTGATTCTAAATAAGTAAAGTTCAAAATGATAAATTTATCTTGCAGCTCAGTCTAAAATTTAAATCATAACCTCAGTATTTGATTATTTTGAGTAGTTTCTGTTTGAATTGTAATGACATCATAAAGTGCAGAATGCCTTTCATAGTTGGTCCTTGAAAAAAATATGAAAATACTAAACCCACTTGTCGACTTGTTATATTCAAAGTGGCACTTAAAACATAGTTCTAAGCTGATATCACCGAGGCATCTGGGTATTCAACCACGTAAGGCATCAATGAACGATATAATTTTTATATTAAATACTACAAATTTGAATTTCATAACCATTGAATCATGCACTTTGACTATAAAAGTCTAATATAACTACTATTTATATATTTTTGGACTTCTTTTTTTATCATATYGTATATAGATCATCATTTGTGTAACACTACATTATTTTGATGTATTTATCTCAAATACAAATCAGAAAGATTAGCAAATTGGATTTCATCAATTTTTTAATTTAATCTTTGAAGACAACCCTGTTCTAAGTAATGTTTAATAAACGAGCAGGAGTGTTTTATCGGGTATAAAACACGAGGCGCAGCCGAGTGGTTTTAGACCCGATAAAMCAYGATCTGCGAGATTATTRAACGGCTTAGAAAACTTATGATGTTTGTTCTCATTGTGTACCGATTTTTTTACAAAATGAACCAAGTTTGATAGAGAAAATCCAAGTTAAAGTTTATGCAAATGAAGACGAATCTWTATCAGATWTAAAATCACCTTCATGGTCATGATTTCTATTGTGTTTTCTTCATGAATTATTAATGAGTTTTCTAACATGTAATACTAAAGTTGAAACAAAAGAATCAATGCAGTGAATTGATGGGATTAATAATTTAGTGCCAATATGTCTCATGACTATAACCTATCTATTTAATGGATTTGTTATAATTACTCTATTAAAAATTTAACAAAAATATTAACATTACAATTGTTGGTGCTTTTATGATTTTTGTTGAAGTTAAAACATTGATCTATTTCTTTTTGTTGAAGTTAAAACATTGATCTATTTCTCCAGGTTGTCAAGACTATTGGTCTTCGTGAAATTTGGTACTTTGGTCTCCAATATGTTGATAGTAAAGGTCTGATTGCTTGGTTAAAGCTCAATAAAAAGGTACAGAAAATATTTATGATAGACTCCTTGTAGTGATTTCTTAGAGGAATTTATTGTTCTGGGGGACGAGACACTAGGCCATCTTTCCTTATGCAAAAAATTGTTTTGGTCCCAAGACCAATTCCTCAAGGGACTCAGTGACAAGTTCCTTTGTGGGTGAAAGTACACTGTTACACTGTTCTTTCTTCATAAATTATTAAAATGAGGTATTGGAAGTATGCCTGTGGTTAATGTTTAAACATCACACCACTCAGCATATTGTTCATAGTAGCCCACTGTGGTTTTTCTGATCAAGTGGTCGTGCACATCAAGGGGGAATGAAGGCTTTGTGCAAACAAAGGACTGTGTCATTTTTTCTTTGTTTCTCAACCTCATTTCTACCAGAAAACTAGTGATCAATCGATCAAAACATTAAAAGTGCTATTAGAAACAAATGAAAGTACTGTATAACTAATGTTATGAGGGAACAATAAACTGTGTAATAATTATTCCTTTGTTTCTTGAGTCTCATTTCTGCCCAGATTGTTGGTAATCACACAACTAAAACATCCCCAAAACAGTTTCACAATGCACTGCAATGTTACATCAACCCAGTTTTTCCCTCAAACTTGGAATGCCTAATATATTACTATAGACTTTGATTTTCTCAGACATTTAGTGTTATCAGAGTAAAACTCAAACAATGTGGGTAAGATTGGTCATCACAGAAAATCATGAGAAAAAAGTGTTGTGCTATTAGAAACTAATTAGAGTAGATAATATTTAGAGATGGTTACGAAGCATACAAAAATAATGAAAGAAAAATGTTATTAGAAAGAACTGATTTTGGCGATGACCACATCCCTTGGGAATGCAGGGTGAATTACTATGTCACTTCCAACCAAATCCTAGTTCAAGCATGATTATGACATGCCTATGAATATAGAAATGACACCTTTTGTTTAAGGAAAAGCTTCCTCAAATATTTGTCCTTAGTATCAATAAATCCACGAATTGTCTTACTATAAGCCCCATGACTCAGCTTACTGTTTATTCCTAAGAAAGGTTTCCCTGGAGAAATATTGTGCATTAAAACCATGTAAATAAAGGTTTATTTTCAAGAGATTATTACTTAGTAGTGCCTCAGGGTTATTATGGTGTATTCTTGCTTTCTGATTGGTTGGGGGTGTGTGTGTTATGAGAGCACACAGCATGAGCACACATTTAAAAAAAATTTATCTAAAATATTCTACAGGGGTGGTAAGGGGGATTCTCTGCACAGTTCAGGACAGTAAAAAATTATAATCATGGTTCACAGAAATTAATATTAATTGTTCAGGATTCATGGATTTTAGAACATGCTAGTATTGGATCACAGAAAAGGATGAATTTTGATCTCATCACAGATCATAAAAATTTAAAAAAATTGTGATCACAATTTCACTTGAATAGACCAATTTTGAATTCCAAATTACCACTGTGTTCTTTGATTACGGACTCATTTACACAGGGTTAGCCTTTATATTTTTCAATATATTTCAATTTTTCTTTAGGTAACAGCTCAAGATGTCAAGAAAGAAGACCCTCTTCATTTTAAGTTCATTGTCAAGTTCTTCCCAGAGGATGTTGGAGAAGAAATCATACAGGAAATTACTTTGGTGGGTGTTGAAGTTTATACATGTAGTTCCATTTTCATACAATATAGGTGTACCTTACATTGTTACATGAATTGCCTCTTTTTAACTTTTTGAGTTCACAAGAAACTTCTAGCCTTTATTTCATGCAAAAATATTCATGTGTTCAATGATGGTCTGCTGGATTTCAAAGTGTTTTTATTGTAGAAGTTGTATATTTTTTACTTCACTGTAAGAGTTTTTGTTTTTTCAAATTTTTTAAATCTCTGCAAACAGCACAAATTGAAAAACAAGTGCACATGTGCACGTTATATTCACCTGTAAGGGAATATAGCAGCATAAGACGTTTATTGTAACCAATGAGTACTTCAGATTTATCATATTCACTTGTGTAAATATACTAATATTCTTATTATTTATTACTTTTACAGAGGATGTTCTATTTACAAGTCAAAGAGGCTATTCTAAATGATTCTGTTTACTGTCCGCCAGAAACATCTGTTCTTTTGGCTTCTTATGCTGTAAGTACAACCAAAAATATTTTACGTATGAAGAGTCCATRAACACCTTTAACGATTTTAAGCAAGGCAGCCTGAATCCCAGCCTAGATTCTTTACTATTAAGCAGAAAAACTCCTCAAGTCAAAAAATCTGGAGAAATTTTAACGAACTTTAACTTTTAACAAATTTTAATAAAAATCCTTTAAATGTTTTTGGAAAAATGAAAGTCCCATAGTGACATAAAACCATGTTTATTAAAATCATACTTATTTACTTGCCTTATGATTGAGGTCCATTTGTAGGATAAGACAAATGAGTATTTTTTATAACAATTATTTCCAAAATGAATAACACTTTTCATTCTTTGAGCATGTTTATTACATGTAAGAATAAATACCTTTGTTTAACCTCAAACAACCTCATCCTGAAATGCTTGAATGCGAGGCTCACGGGGGGAATCTATTGTTCAAGTCAACATGACTGCTGTGTGAGAAAGGTTCATGTACTATGCTTGTAATAAAAGTTATACAGAACTCAAAGTAAAAGGAAAGTAATACTACAACTTATAGACCCCACCAGCTTTTCTCATGTTTAATTTATTAATTTATTTTAGTGTCAAGTAAAGTATGGAGATTGGGATTCGAGTAAAGATATATCCAAGGATAGATTGCTACCTCAAAGGTTAGTTTGGAATCCACTGCATTCATTCAATCCCCCATCCCATCCATCCATTWAAAAAAAAATTGGGTAAAAGATCCATTCATTTTATTTATTCCATCTTTCCTTTTCAGCTATTCATTCTATTGATCCATCCATTCCCTTCCACTGATACAGCAGTCCATTCACCCTGTCACATTCATTTCACCCAATGTGTAGTTCCAGAAATTATGCATATCCAAACCCCACACAGATGATTTTTTATTAAGACCCCCCACCCCCAGAAACTCCAATTTTCTTACATACAAACTTAGTAGTTTTGTTTTTTCTGACCCCCTACCCCTCAGAAGTTCCAAATTTCTCTGGGGGGGGGGGTATGGATAATTTTTGGAACTACTTCTACATCCTTTCTGTCTATCAGTCATTTAGTCAGTCAAGTCAAAAAACCACTCAATCTATCAAGTCTACCGGTTTATTAACTTAAGAAACAACTGCTCAAACATTTCAGAACAAAACAATGTCAACAGATTTCTTAGAGCTTCAGTCTTGATCTTTTAGATATTTGTTAGAGGTTGTCTTATAAATAAATAAAATAAATTAACTTTGTTTATAGAGGATAACACTTGACAGTAATACTACTGATAAACTCGTGGTCCTCTGTTAACGTCTCTAGTTAATTAGGGACGGGACCGCCATTAACATGATCATCCGAGCCACATGATCTTGATCTTTTAGATATTTTTTAGAGGTTCACTCTTGATTGTTCTATTACAGAGTGTTGGATCAACACAAGCTAGGACAGGAACAATGGGCAGAGAAGATCATGACATGGTGGAAGGAACATGAAGATACCATGAAGTAAGTCAATCGTTACAAGAGTAAATGCCCATTAGTTGCCTTGGAGCATGTCAGAATGCAGCTCAATTTGGAGGACATAACAATAGGTTTCCAATTCTCAGGAGATTGAAATTCTTTTGTTTTGTCCTCCAAATATTGAGCTGCTTTCATGTCAAATGCAAGGGGTCTACACTGTTGATATGATACAATAAACAGCGTTTGAGGCCCTAAAATTTTAGCACAATACCAAGGCTCTTTCTATTGCCCCTATCAAATGCAGCCCAGAAAAAAGGGTCTGTCATTGAGGTTTAACTTTAAAAAATACGAAAAAGTATAGATAATAAATTTCTGATATTGCCTGTTGTATTTATATTCAGAGATGACGCCATGATGGAATATCTGAAAATCTGCCAGGATCTTGAAATGTATGGTGTGAATTACTTCGACATCAAGAACAAGAAGGGCACTGGATTGCTGTTGGGTGTGGACGCTCTTGGACTGAACATCTATGAGAAGGAAGACAGGTGAATAAAGATGATACTTTGGTATAATAAGGGGTCGGTATCAGTGTGGATGCTCAAGGTCACCTATAGATAATTAATGTATTGTAGCAACCAGAGCTCAATCTATATTGTTTACTGAAATATTGAGTTTGTTTGTTGAGTCCCCAGTCATGATCACAGGATTCGTGCTACTCCTTAAACTCCTTGAATTTTTGCTTTGGTCATTACTTGCATGGTTCTGAAATAGATCTAGTCAGAAAGACTGGAAAATCTGAAAGTCGGCCACGTGCACCACCGTGTAGAACCTTGGAATATGTTTGCTGAACATACTCCTTGAAAATTTATTTTTGGGTCCTTGTTTACTCCTTGAATAGTCCTTGAATTTTAAGTGGTTACCTCAGCACGAACCCTGTGATCACTGACCAAATTATTTTAAGTTTGATTTTACCTCGTTTCTGGATCAATCTTAACCAAACAACCTAGATCAAAATGACCCCTGAGGAATTGAATGAATGAATAAATGAAWCTCTTGCAGACTAACACCAAAGATTGGATTCCCATGGAGTGAAATCAGAAACATCTCGTTCAATGACAAGAAATTTGTCATCAAGCCAATTGACAAGAAAGCGCCAGTAAGTATATTAAAAAATCTTGGTACTGTACCTCAATTACATTTATGAAATATTGTAACACTTTCACTGTACAACTTTCAGGATTTCATCTTCTTTACCGAACGTTTGAGAATTAACAAGCGCATCTTGGCATTATGCATGGGCAACCATGAACTCTACATGCGCCGAAGAAAGCCTGACTCCATTGAAGTTCAGCAGATGAAGAAACAGTGTGTTGAGGAGAAAGCAGTGCGTGATGCTGAACAGTAAGTTTATCCATTTCCATGCAATCATCTTGGAACAAAGTGGGTTCAATAATGCAATTTCAAATGTTGCAATAATACACGAATTGTCAAAAATCAAAATTTTATCTGAAAGCATTTGTTGGAGGCATCTCTAGGGAATTTCTTATAACATTCACACTTTTCAAAAGTCATATCTTCGCAAATTTTGAACTTAAAAGCTTTGCAGTTTTACTGATTTTAACATTCTCTTTCCAGCTATGGTAATTCTTTTTTTTTTTTAATACCCAAAAATACCTGATACAGGCTGTATAAGTTAACTCTATCTCCACAACTACCCTGTCGAAGAGGGTTTTAATTAGTCATTTTGGTAAGAAAGTTGATTACTATCGTCACTGATTCAGCATTCTTTTTCAGTGCAAAGATAAAGCGGGAGAAAAAGAAACGTGAAGAAAATGAAGAAAAGCTTAGAGAACAAGAAAAGAGACAGTTAGAGTTGGAAGAGAGACTCAAGCAACAAGAAGAAGGTAGATCATATATTTATGTCAGTGGCCTTGTTACATGTAGATGGGAACAAAACAACATATTCCGGTAGTATCGTCGTGTAAGGGCTAACGAAGTATGCTATAGGTTTCGGAACGCACTAGTGGAACCTTTTTGAGGATTTTAGTTCTCCTCCCTTAGAAACAAAATTACGACTACTTGAAATTTGAATTTGAATAGAATTCCCCTGACAATTCTCATAGACGATATAGCCCATATTCCTTTTGAAGACCATTGAACTGAGCAAAAGAAAGTAGTAGTTCTAGTAGTTTTAGTAAATGACTATAATGCAAGTGACCTATTGCCGTCGTGTGACCACACATACAGGTCCTATTATGCGGTAGTCCTATTCATAACACATACATAGAGTAACTTTTATTATTATATTTGGGAGACTTCTGCTTTTTGTTTTTCACTGCCGCCAGTCAACGATCTTAAGGGTTCCAACTGATCAATTTTGATTGACAGCAGCAGGAGTTTTTTTTAATAGCTTGCATAATTTTAAACACTTTTATGAGGCCGGGTTGAATTTGGGTGGAAAATCAAGTGAAATCCTGGTTATGTTTGCACAGAAAAGAGAAGAAAGGATGAAGAACTTGAAATGCTTCAAAAAGAAAAGCAAGAAATACTTCTTGTGAAGGATACTGAATTAACCAAACTGATGGAAGAGAACCAGAAGGCTCTCCTTAAACTGCAAGAGTCTGAGAAGGAGAAGGAAGACCTGGTGAGTATTGGTTACCTCTGAGCTTGCCTGAGGAAGCCAGAGAGCCCAGAGAAAATTCTTGAATCCTACATTTAGGAGACCCAAAATACTCCACTCCCATGCAGATGTGTGATTCCATAGATCTTTCCCAAATTGGTCTAAAAAGTTAGGACCACGAAAACAATGGTTCCCATTTGAGTTTACACTTGATGAGATACATTGTAATAATGATTACTGTCATCATCTCATCAAGTGTAACCTTGACTTGAAGTCATTGTTTTGATTTGATAGTTTAAACTTGATGCTTTCATTTGATTATGAACGCATTGTAGGACTGTTTTAGGGGACAAGATAGCTTCTTCTTTCCTGGTCCTAAAACAGTCCCTGAATGCACTGCAATGCCAACTCGACCCAGATTTCACCTCCCACTGTAGAATGGCTAATAATTGCGCCGTCACTTTACTACCCTTGAATTCCCTAAATCCATTTTGTTTTTTTCCTAATTTCCCCATTCCCTGCCTAAAGTCTGAAAAGGTGCATCTAACTGAAGAAGAGAAGGAAAAAATCCGTCTTGAGAAAGAAAGACAAGCAGAGGAGCTGAGGATACAACTGGAAGAGAACCAGAAGGCGGTAAGTCCAGGGAGAATTCTCTTTTAACCCATTAACAAGTTGTCCATTGACCGGTCTTTATTTTAAACCCAGCTGCTTGAATAGAACATACCTTTAATTTGTTTCTACTAGTACTGAATATGGTTGAGGTGCAATAGTAACTAATTTTGCTGACTAACTTGTAGCTTGAGGTAGCTAGGGTAGAAAGAGAGGAGAAGCATAAGGCACTGGAGGAACTGCAGTTACAGGTCACACAGAAGGAAGAAGAGGAGGAGGCCAAGACTGCTGACCTGCAGATGAATGCAGCTGATGAGAGCCTCCTTAGGTCTGAAGAGAACCGTTTGACTCAAGCTGACAAGAACCAAAGAATGCAAGAGCAGTTGTCTGTGAGTACAGTAATAATTTAACATTAATAGCATTTTTCACAGATGTCGTCACAATTGTGCATCATGGAGTGGGTTGTCCTTCACGAATTTGCAAGATGTGATCCTATTGGAGGGGGCACATGTGTAAAACAATAGAAAACAATGACCTTTTCCCAACCCCGCCCCTAAACCTAACCAATCACAGGGGACGTTGCAAATTCGTGAAGCCTAACTCCATGAAATTGAAATGCGGACAAGCCTAGCCAAGCGGACTGCTAATATGTTGCAACCATATTTTGTAGTCAATTGGTTCCAGGTCATGGAAAAATTATGGTTTTCTGACTGATATTGTTCTTCTTTTCCATGTAGCCAAAGACCTTTATTATTTTGCAATGTTTGACCGCATTTCAATCTCACAAGACTTTGGAATATCTATATTTAGTATAATACATGTATACTAATCATTCCTTAATATTTTCTATAGAGTCTGTCAGCCGAACTTAACCAGGCCAAGGATGCTAAGAAAGCAACACAAATGGACATAATTCATGCCGAGAACATGAGGCAAGGAAAGGACAAGTACAAGACCCTGAAACAAATCAGGCAGGGCAACACCAAGAGCAGAATTGATGAATTCGAAAGCATGTAAATCTCTTCATCAGGTGAGTCATGGTATTTTTCTTCTAGGTGTCGTAATAAAAATCTATTAAGCTTTGCCAGTTGTATCACAACCTGGGACATTCATTCACAACAGAGACAGGGTCCAACTAAGCGAAAACCCAAAGATCAAATTAGAATTTAGAAGTGGATTTTTGAGGTGGGAGGAAAACGGGAGAACCTGGAGAAAAACCCTTAAAGTGCAGGAGAGAACCAATAAACAACTCTACTCACATGGGATAAGCCCTTGAAGTGCAGGAGAGAACCAATAAACAACTCTACTCACATGGGATAAACCCTTGAAGTGCAGGAGAGAACAAATAAACAACTCTACTCACATGGGATAAATGGGAACCTGGGAGTGAAACCCGAGTTGCCTTGGTGAGAGGTGGCATATTAGCAGCACGTGCCACCCCAAATAGCATAACGTGACAACCCACTGACAGCCTGCCATAAAGCTGCCAACATCCTAACATCAATCTACTGTACCTATTGACACACTTCCATTAACCGGCAGACAGTAACCCAGCAACACTCTTATAATAACTTAGCAGGTACTAGTTTGCACCCTACTGAAAATGGGCTAATACTTGAGCAACATCCTAACAATGCAAAGTTTGGGAACCATTTTTTTATTTCTTATTGTTCGTTTATTCAACCCATGAATAGCAAGTAGTCAAAAGACATTTGAGACATTTGCCAGGTGCAATTTTTTTCTTATTACATGTATCTTGTTAATAGTAACTTCAATCACATGAAACTCTACCACTAGACATTGTTTTCATAAATAATTAGTCACTATATAGACTTTTCTAGTAGCTAACCATTGTGAATGACCCGCTGACTGGCTGCTTATAACTATAAGGACTCTATAGCCTTATGTTTATTCTATTTCATTTTATCTTATCTTAACAGATAAAGGGCAATAGGATGGGAAGACCAATCATTCTTGCTCTAGTTGTGTGTTAGTTAATTAGGTAGATCACTAATTATAGCCCTGCTACTCTAGTAGTTCGGCAACATGAAAGCATAGATAGAAATAGAATCATCTCTTAAATAAATACCACTTAAATAAAACAATAAAATATAAGTACGATTTGTAGACCATTTTTCCAATGATTGAAAACTTCCTTGTTTAGTCCTGCTGCCCTTAAAGATTCGGATAGAATTTTTTGTATTTGATGTTTATTCTTTTTCATTGCTGCTTATAAAGTTGTTTAACTGCTGAAATATCTTGGTCAGAGAGAGATGCTTCCACATTGTTATTACAGATATGTTATCTTCATATAAATGATATAATTCCTTTGACAGCTGTGTTGCTTCTTGGGAGTGGGATGAAACCTCTCTTGCACTAAATGAAAACATTCTAGAGATTCGAGTATCTAAGTTGTTAATTTAGCCTCTTACAGAACTATTAACACATTGCTACTAACCAAGTCTCTGCATCAAGAAACCAAGGACCCTAGTTAAATAAGAATTATTTACTCGAACTGAAAGCAGCTTCAAAACTAGGTGTGACAGAGGTTCACATCTGTCACTCAAAGAAAAAGAAGCTGGATTCCTGGAGTCCTTTGTTTTTAGGCTGGAGACAGAAAAAAACAGCATTGTTGAGTCGAAAAACTGCTGGAGGAGGGAATATATCGTTCTAACTCAGCTGCCTTTTGTTGAGCTTTGGAACCTTTTGTGAAGAGCTTTGGTGAATTCTCAAGAGGTGTGCACAGCTGTGAAGGAAAAAACAATGATTATACCCTTTTGAAAACGTTTATGATCAAAGACCATCAAATCATAATATAACCAAATTATCTCTAATGACCTGGTTAAATGAAATCTCTTCCTCTGAAACCAGTTAAAGTTTTGATGACGATAATGATTGATGACACTATTATTATTGCCATTATGATTTYTTATATATGATTATTATTTCAATATTAGTAATGATAATAATGGCAATCTTAATACTTAATATATAATAATTAAAACTTTCATAAATATGATTAAAATCATAACGAGCAAAAATATATCAAAATTCTAAAAAAAATCATAAAATTATTAATTCCTAACTATTAATTTGTTTTGCTTATTGTAGTATAATCTATATAATTGTGATTTATAAGGTATTATTACTGTCATTAATTGTGAATATTTGTAACTGAACAGTGTGGAACAATTAAATATATTTTTAAAAATGTAAATCACCAATTCTCCCAATATTTATTAATAGTTTAGACAAATAGTTGGTTGAAATGCTAAATTCTTTTCATACAAACTTTTAAAAAGTTTAAAAAATCGATTAATTTTTATGCTGATGGGGGCAAACCCCATTCTACTTGGAATAAGCCCCTGACATATGACGTCACAGCATCTCAATTTGGATGAAGCCATAGTATTCCAATCTTGAGAATTGGAAACCTGTTAAGTCCTCCAAATTGAGCAGCATTCATATGTGCTGCAAGCTAGACCATTCTGTTTGGGTTATCAACATGGTGCATCCTGGTCTAGCTTTGGTACCAACATCTTGTTCTTTTTATGCAGTGCTGTTCAAAGCTAGACCATTATGTTTGGGTTATCAACATGGTGCATTCTGGTCTAGCTTGGGTACAAACATCTTGTTCTTTCCATACGGCTCTTTTTAAAGCTAGACCGTTTAGTATGGGGTGTGAACATGGTGCATTCTGGTCTAGCTTGGGTATAAACATGTTATTTCTATACAGTGCTGTTCACATCAAATCCATGATCAAATAGTGGTAAGTCATGTAAATAGATAGTCCAGTTAGTATGGGGGAAAAAACCAAGTTTATTTAACAGCAGTATTTTGTTTTTGGGTATATATTGCAGTGTTTTTGTAAAGAAATACACCGGAAATCGAAAGCCCTTACTCAAGTAAGTCCTCATGCAAGACAAACTGCTGATTAAAAATTACTGGTTTTCTATCTTTCTTTTTGTCTTTTGGTATTTGGATGTCATATTTTCAGTGATGAACTCACTCGAGTGACTTCATTCAAGACACGTTAAATTACATCCATAACATTCCAGACATACATATACAAATGACGTTCAATCTATTGCTATGGTGACCCTGTTGCTTTCCAGGCATGCATATCCCAATAAATGACGTCACGAGTGCGTTGACGTCATCACTTTGTTCCCAATCACGCATGGAATTTTGAATGAATGTTGCGTGAGCTCTTGGGAGTTGTCTTATTACTTGGAAAGAAACTCTGAAAGCATCCATAAGATTTAGTTGGAATATCGTCGGACTTAAAGTCAAATCAAGCCTTCAATTTACAATCTCTTCTCTGCACTCGATTTAAGGTAAGCTGTACACTGTTTATCACCCAAAATACTATTTATGTTTTGAGTTATTTAGTTATTGATTATTTCAAGATATCTACAAGGCTCTATTATAACCTCTCCACGCGATGGCCTTCTTTATCTCAATTTCCCGCCAGAGCATTCTGATATTTGTATATATATTCAAAAACGTTTTAGTCCAGTTGGTATAATTTAGTACGGATTCATATCAAGTATTTTTATTTAAAAAATTACATTAAATCACTGATTTAAAGGTTAATCTAACGAGTGTAAAGCTGTTATATAAAACAAATCGTTATAAAAAACGAATTGATACATAAAACAAATTGTTATATAAGGGTAAAGCACCAAAAGACTTTTCTAATTTTTGAAGAGTTGATTAGAGAGTTATTTTTCTTCGATCAAAGACAAGATATAAATAATAAGGATGGATGATTTCAACATTTCGAATGAAGTTTATCAAAAGTTCTTGAAATTTTTGAAAGTCCAATTATCTAATTCTTCAAAACATACGCCCTTTTAAAACATTGATCAATACATATATTTAAAAAAGAAAAGGAATATTTACAAACCAGGCAAGATTTATAAATTTGGTAATTGAAAATTTTCGAGTTAGAAATTACTACATTTGCATTGAATGTAAAAACGATCGCTTGATTAGGCACATTCTCAGAAGCTTATTCATTCTGCACGGCTCCAGTTCTCGAACGTTCAAAATACCAAGAATCCCACACCCCCGGTCTAGATTCAGGGGACTCGGTAATGAGCTAACTCTTTATTTACGAGTCTTAGACACGTAGAACAAGTTTGAACACATTCTAATCAAAGAACAAATGCCTTTTGATATTGTCACGGATAACCTTAACTACTTTGACGCGTTTACTAATAACACTTTACATATTCGACCAATTGCTCATACTACACATATTTAGGTATATTTTTTTATTTATTTTTAACCCAAAAAAATTTTTATAATATTTGAATACTTGAAACTTTCGGCGCTACAGACCAAAAAAATTTTTGTTGCTTACTTAGATATTCTACAATGTCTCCTATTTTATCCTCAGGTTATTTAATCTTTATGAATATTTATTGCAAATAAGAATAAATTTATCGCTTATTAATTTCAACTTCGGCACGAAACTCCATTAAATTTTGATCAAAGTCGGTGAACACACATCGATTAGTATGTCGTATGGAAACCAACTGAATTTTTTTGAATCCACTCATTTTCGAATGTGTTTATAAGCAAATATATGTACTATTTAAAGACTTCGCGTGCAAAAGAAAAACACTCCCTAAGATTATATCTAAGCTTCATCATTGATGACTTTCTCTTCCTTTGTATCCAAGTGCCATAACTTTCACCCCCTCCCCCTCTCCCCTGAGTCCATACTCCCCACCTATCCCCCATCGATTTCATTTGTTTCGAGTACTCAAATTCGGATTATTTTTATGATATTGGCTATTTTTGCATTTAAGTGTGGTTTGAGTAAAAGTCCGTAGGATTTAGTTGTTTACACAGGTTGTTTACCGTTCACATTGAATATGACCAACAGACCCCCCGGTAGTGATGATCAACATTCGTCTATTGACTACTGAGTAGATACCGAGTCTCCTCTTCGGGGATTAGTCAAAGCCTTAAGGTTTGAGTCTGTTTAAGAGCACTGACTCAATGACATGAAATTTTGGCATCAAACCTTAGAATTATATTTATAAATATTCTCGAATATATGAGCTATTTTTAGCTACCTGTAAATTCAAAGGTTAAACAAAGTTTATGTATTTATGTAAGTTGAGAAAGAAAGCTTCAGAATTCTATTTAAAAGCTTGATTGTACAATGATTTGTTCACTTACTAAACTTGTTCTTGTGTCTGTGTGTGGAGTTGATAGTCGGTAGGCTGCTCGCTCGTTTGTCTGTTGGTTCGTTCTTTTGTGTGTGTGTGTGTATTTGCGTGGTTCGTACGCTTTACCGTGAGTTTTCTGCGTGCGTTTGATATGCGTTGTTAAGTATGTTCATTTTTACTTGTGCTCGTTCTTTGCATGCTTTTCCGTTTAATGTGCGTGTGTTCGGTCTTGCTGTATGAGTGTATTCGTTTTAACTTGCTTGCACCTGTTCAAGTGTTCATMTTTTTCTTGCAAGCGTTTGCGTACGTGTACGTTCGCGTACGTTCGTGTAATTTGTTCGGCTTATGTGCGTGCGTTCGGTCTTGGTGTGTCTGATCGCTTTTTCTTGCTTACACTTGTTAGCTCATGTGTTCAATTTTTGTTGCCCGCGTTCGCGCATTTATTGTAGCGTACGTTCGTGTGGTTTGTCGTACAGTCTCATGTGCCTTCGGTCTGGGAGCGTGAGTATATTCGTGTTTTTTTACTTGCGCCCGTTTGTTCGTGTATTCGTTTTTTCTTGCGTGAATTCTTTCGTTCTTGTGGTGCGTTTTCACACCTGTTTGTGCGTAGTTACATTAATTATCTTTCCGGTTCGCATCAATCGCATGTGCGTCTCTTCGTTTCTTCGTGCCTCGTAGTATTCTTTTATGTTTACTCAATGATTTTTTGTCTTACACAATCTTTTCATAAGGTACAAAATAACTCGATCAGATACAAAGATGGTACCAAAAAGAAGTCAGTTTTTTTTCATCACAGCGCGTGAAATTACTACTCGTCCAATCAAAATGCTTAGACACTTTACCGTCACGGTCAAAGCACTGCGCGACGGTAACGCAAACTTTTCACCGTCATAAAACATTTTGTTTTTATAACGTCACTTAAGCTATTTATAGCTGCTCGTCAGAAAAATGGAATTCATAAAAGCAGTTTAAAGGTATATTTTATTCTATTTGTTTTGAACTGTTCTCGAAATTTCTAACTCTAAAATTAATCGACTTTAGCTTTTTTTAAACTTATTTCGGAAATTGAAAGTAGGAAAATGGAACTGTAGAAATGTGGTGAAAAAATGATAGAAGAAAGAACGAAAAAAACCCGAAAAAAATGGTATATTTTTCGATAATTATTTCATTATGGAAGTCGTAGTTTCCAATAATTATTTTTCTAACGGCAAGATTGTTCAAACCGATTCGAACCTTGATCAAAATTCATCACTAACACACACTCGACGCTCTCACAACTCTATTGACCAAAGACAAAAGATCCTACTACTTCATTACCAAAAATGGACATGTTTCTGACGAGTCAACATGGCGTCCAAGTGTGACAAAGTTTTGAAATTCACGACAAAACTGAATTTACTCAAACGGCTTGGTTAAACTTTGGAAAATCGTAATTAAAAGTGTCACAAACTCGACTCAAATATCTACAGACTGAGGTAGCTGAGATATATTACAATAATAATTCTATGAAGAGTTGTTATTTGGGAAAAAGTTGACTTTAAGAAGGAGAAATTAGACGAAACTTTGGAAAACTGCATCTTGTTTCCTTCATGCGAGAAAGAATTTTGAACACAAACTCTCGCAACGGAGAAATTATATTTGGCTCAATAATAGTTTTCGGTGAAGGAGTTTGAAGTAAGTCTCTTATTCTTGTATTTATAGAAAATGTAGTAGCATTTAGATAAATTGGAATTATTTTTATTTAATCTCAATTTTTGTTTTGTTTTTCAATTATTACTGAAGCTAGTATTTTGAAATTTTACTGAAGATTTTTTCGCTGTAGTTACTTTATGTAGTTACTCAAAAGTTCATTTATTTGTCCACCATTCATTTATTCTATTACTCATTCTTTTGTTTACCCAACTAACCTTTCATCGTATAGTACAATTCCCAGCGAGGTCGGAAATTAATTTTTCCGAATTTAATTCCAAGGGCTTTCGCCCGGAATAACCTCGTTCCCAAGCACTACAACTTACCTATATTATCTTCTACTATTTTCATTAGTGCCACGCGGTCCACATACTTTCATCGTATACGTTCATCCATCCATCTGAACTACCATTCATCCATCCATATACCATTAATCCGCCATCTACCATTCATCCATGCATGCATGCATCCGTTCATCCATCCATCTACCATTCATCCTTTCCTCCCTCTCTCAATCTATCTTTCTCTTTGTCTGTTGATTCATCCATATATCCATCCACTTTTCTCATTATTTAAAAAAACTGAAAAGCGCTCAAAGCCGTCTTGTTAGTTAAGGTTGGGGCATCCTCAGGAACCAAGGGGTAAAATTGCGTCGCTCTAGAATGAGATGAGGTTGGTTTGGTAGGGGAGGATGGGGAGATTATTGAAACCATTTGTTACCTCCTTGAATAGTATTCCTTTATTTACTGGGAGATATATAAACACAATCCCATTATCATTCATCCGACCGAACCATTCCTAAGAGCATGCACGTGGTCAAGCGTTCCAATACACCCTAGTTTCCATATCCCAGGGAGAGTTGGAAGGGAGAGGACGGAAACCTGGGAACGAGGTTGACACCCACCTTGCAGAGACAGAAAGTCTAAGCAGGTAGTCCAAAGAAACCTGTCGAAAAATATCACTTTTAATCCAAATTCTCCTTCAAAAATAGCCTCTCAAGTAAGCTAAAGACTTGTTTTAGCTCTTGTTCAACTTTGAAGTTTCAGTCTGGACTTTTATTGCTGATACGATAGGTAGTTTATCGCAAAAAGTTACAAACACTTGAAACTTCAGTTGAACTTCACTAAAATTTATTATCAATATTTGAAAAYGTCGCCTCTTAAATAATTACTTCAGCGTCAAAACAAAGAAGACCTCGCTCTCCATTGATAGGAATTCTTTGCCTTGGATTTTTATATTGTTTTTCTTATTTTTTGTAGGTACTTTTTTTAGTTCGATATTTGGCGGTCGACGCAGTGATTCGACTTCATTCTTATTGATTTTCGTACTATTATTGCTATTTGTCTCGTAGCTGGTAAAAAAAACTCAAAAAAAAAACAAAATGCCTAAATCGGTAAGTACAATTTCCTTTTAAAAGTATCTTCATTTATAGTTTTTCATTTTATTTTCAGCTGCTCTGCGGCTTTTCCGAAGTTTACTGAATACTGCAAAGCTGCAAAACTTGGCGCGTCGTATCGAATTTCTGCATTTTGATAATATTTTCGTCTTTAWCTTATTCAAATTTCCTTTCTTATTATTATGAAGATTAACGTTAAAGTAACAACTGTAGATGCCGAACTCGAGTTTGCTATCCAGTCTAGCACTACAGGAAAACAGCTTTTTGACCAGGTAAGTGAATAAATATTTATTTTCAACATCTTCGTAGAGTCAATATGAAGCTCTTCGCAAAGTTTACGTGAAGCTTATCATAATCTTGTATCAAAATATTTTATTGTTCTAATATTTTTTAATCCTCAAGGTTGTCAAGACTATCGGTATTCGTGAGATTTGGTATTTTGGGCTTCAGTTTACCGATACTAAAGGATATAGTGCCTGGTTGAAGCTAAATAAAAAGGTGAGCTTCCTTCAAAATACAAGGGGATTAAATTTTACGAGTATGAAGTATTTTAATGGAATGTTGATGGTGTGGATAGAGACACGACAATCTTGGCACCTTTAATATTTCTTTTAAATATTTATCGCYACAGAACTTTGATTGGATAGAGATAAAGAATGTGGTTAAGCTTATTTTAGAATTTTCGCTAAACATTCTCAAAATGTGGTTGTAAATTAATACCGTATTGGTTTTTTTGCGCCCTGTATTTCCACATTTACACGTCGTAAGCTTTCAAAACAAATGCTGGTGATTAAAATGACAATCAAAGTTGTCATGGCTTTGAATTCTTGGCTTTCACGTGACGTCACTGACCTATTTCGACCTATCCAAATATGGGCGTCCGCCATCTTTGTGCCCCTCCGAGTGTGAAATGTT